AGAGAGAGAGAGAGAGAGAGAGAGAGAGAGAGAGAGACAGCGTTTATGACATGGAGTGGTTTAAACATGTAACAATAATGTACTAGTGATGTTCTCGTTTGTTGTGTGCGTGGGTGAGTGCAGAATAGGACCTTTGTAACATCATGGCCACTGTATACGACCAAAGCAAATAAAACAAAAATTGACTCCGACACGAGAAAGAAAAAGAACAATCTCTTATACTTGTCAATACATTCCAGATCAGAGAAAAATATACTACTGTCTAATACAGGTTTGTGGAAAATGAATTGTTTGCAAGTTCACTCACACAGACAATGCTCCCCCTTAGAAACTTGTCATCAGAAAGCTGTTCGGCTTTATTAAGCCCAAAAAGCAACACTTTTCAGGACAGAGATAAAAAAACCTACATTAAAAATTTTAAAAACTCAAACATTGGTGAGGCGTGGTGACGAAATGAGCTACTTCTCGGATTTTAGCCTTATGAAAAGACGCATCAAATTTATAAGTTGTGTTTGTACAATTTATTAGTATGTAACAATGATAAAAGACATAAACTCAAAGAAAACGGCATCAGTTAAAAATCTACAAATTTAACCCCTGTGTCCATTTTTGGCTGATAACTCCATTTGACCCCCCACCAAGCCAGTGCTACAGACTGAAGTCGTCTTAAGGCCATTCCCAAAGCAGGGATATTAACATGTTCTTATGCACAGTAGAATTGTAAATGAACTGATTAATCCATGTCATGCTCATACTGTGCCGGAACAACATAGGGGGAACTGCTGCTTTTTCTTTCCTCATCCTTACTATTGTCATTTTCCTCTACTTCTTTTGTATGTTTGTCACCCTCTTGTGAACTGTTATTTCCGAGGTGCCTTGATAGTGGAAGCAGACTTTGTGCTGTTGAGGCTAGAGAGGTGAGCAGAGGAAGCCTAATTCCCAATTTGGACTTCTCTGTTGACATCCACCCCATGGCGCTCATATGACCTCATGCAGTTGTGAGCGCCGTAAAAAGCTTACTAAAACTAACAAGTTCCATTTGAAGATTGTGAGAAGTATCTCAATTCGTCATTGCTCCTCATGAGAAATGTACAAGCTACAAACAAGACATGTACATTCGAATGTGGTTAAGGAAGCCTCACCCTGATAGTCTTGACCAGCTCTTGCACCTTGTCTGATCGGAGCAGACAGCGGGTCAAAAACCCTTTGGCCACAGCGCTGACCCGGTCAAACTTGACCCTCATCTCTGCGCTGTGGGCCTGTATCAAACAACAATGATGTGACAATAGAATCAAGGTTGGGAACATTTGCCAAATTGAACAGACATCTTTTTCATGAGATGATTCGATGTGCCTCTGCGTAATACAACAATTTCCGCATATACAGCAAAATACACAGGCGGGGGGAAAAAATGAATCTACCCAAAAAAATTTGAATTTGAACAAAATATTTCTTAAGCACAATGTAACCAATATCCTAATAATAACAATAATAATAATAGCATTTGTATAGCGTAAATCCCCGCTGAACAGCAAGCTCTATACGCTTCACAATCTATACTAAACAACAACAAAAATATCACAGGTTAAGAAAGTTAAAACTTTTTTTCAAAATATCAGGCTTAGTACGACTAAAAAGCTGACCAACGAAAGAGTGTTACGTCAACCATTATTTACGTTACTCACTTGAGGAGGTACCACAACTTTCCCGTCCCGACGGAACGAGGACGGAAACTTCAGCGGGGATCTCAGGACGGAGGGCCGATGTATCCGTGGGGAATTCGGCGAGGGGCTGAACTCTGGGACGGCGTGTCCGATCCCTGCTGCGTCTCTAGGGGGCGCCACTCGAGGGGAGAAACTGTCGTCGGAGGAGAGCGTTTTCACGCGCGTCTGGTGAGCCTCGTTGCCACCCACGCTGTCGCCCGAAATATTCATGACGGAACTCTGGGACTTTTTCTTCCCCACACCGTGCTTCCCCGCCACCACGGATCGACCGGTCTTCAGGTTCCCCGCGGGATAAGACTTTGGCTGTAGCTGTATGCTGGGCATAGAGCCGGCGGGGTCCGCGTGCGAGTGTCTGTGATACGACTGAGGTCTCAGGTTGTGGAGAGAGTTCATGGCCTCCTCGACCTCCGACCTTCTCCCAGACTCTCCCGTGTGGGGTCGACCCCCGTCGCGCTGCTCAAGGACGTTACTGTCGAAGTCACCGGTGTGCTCTGGGCTGAACTCTCCGCTCTGACCCCGGGCCTTGACCTTGAGATTCTCAGGGGCGTTCTGGATCAAGAACTCTTGCTGCTCCTTCTCCAGCTGTTGAGCTGCTTTGATCTCCGCAGCCAGGAGCATGGTATCTCGTCTCTGGGAAAATAAAGAGACAAATTAATATTCTTTTTCATAAACTCAATATGATTTACATTTTTTACAGACTTTCAATTTAATAACCAAACAAATTAACACTAACTATCTGTTTGTAAAATCAGTATGATTCATATTCATTTGCAAACTTAAAATCAATATGAATCTTATTTATTCAAAGATTTTAGATTTTTTTAAAAGACCAAAGAACGAGAGTAACATACTTTTAAAATCAATATGAATAACATTTTTAAAAATTCTTCCACAAGACAAAAGATAAAAAAGACACTACCTAAGACACAGATAAAGATACCGAAATAAAGAAAACAGTTGCATTTCAACTCAGAGTTCATTCACACAAAGCAAGAAACCCTCTCTCCAGGTACCCACACATGACATACATGTCACGACGCGGTGGAATCAGGCGCTCGTCAATTTTGGGGCACGTGGAGTCATGGTATCATCTAAAAGCTGATTTATTTGCCTTGCTTCCAATGCAATAAATATCTATTTATCTTGAATAGAACTCAAGATATCTGCCTTTGAAGGAAATGAGGTTGCCCGGTTTCAGTGGTGAAATTAGCGAAAAAATAGCCGCCAAAGTTTGGTGACTCCAATAGTTAAAGGGTCTTGGAAAACTGAAAAATGACATATTTTGAGCCTTTAATCAACGTTTTTCAGTAAAATCCACATGAAAATGTGTTTTTACATGAACACAAAAGAGGTTAAGCCCCCTAAAAAAAAATTCGAGAAAAATTTCCAAACTAACGGGAAAATGTCTGTTTCTTCGATTTCGTTATTTTGACGAGCGCCCGATTTCACCACGCTGCCACACATATGTACATTATATTGTATACATTTAATAATAATAGACTATTTGACAAGTGTATACACAGAACATAACAGTGCATACATACTGGCATTTATTCAAGAAAATTCAATTAGTTGTTTCCACCACATCATGAGTGCAATATGCCTTCCCATTCAAATACACACACACACACACGCACACACATACACACACACACATTACCTCACATAAACTCACATATGGTCACTTTTAAGCACAAGTGGGCTATCCCGAAAAATGCTGTTTTGAGAGAATCGAAGGTGGTAAAGTTTTTCGACCCTTGTTCAGTTTTTTTAACACTTTACAGTCACAAAATACCCCATCTGGTCACCCAGCCAGCAGAACAAAATACCCCATCTGGTCACCCAGCCAGCAGAACAAAACACCCCATCTGGTCACACAGCCAGCAGAACAAAATACCCCATCTGGTCACCCAGCCAGGAGAGTGACTACAACAGACTTCTCAGGCCTGGTGCAGTTGCGCCAGGTGACCGGAACAGATCATTTTCATCTTCGCATTATTGCACCAAGTGACCTCAAAGTGTTAAAAGACAAGGAAAGTTTTCTCTATAACCAAACAAATATACACACCAATGAAACCAAACTTCTCCTACAGGTAGGTCAAAGCCCACTTTTGGTGTAGGTCAAAATTTCTGGAAACCCCCAAAATCTGGGTTAGCCCGCTTGTCCTTAAAATTAAAAGCTACCATATGAGCCTGCACATTCTCACACACACACACAAAGACTAGACATACGATGACTGACTAACCTGCTGCACAAACAATTCCTCCATCTCTCTCTCTCACTCACTAACTCACTCACTCACTCACTCACTCACTGACCGACTGACTGACTGACTGACTGACTCACTGACCGATCGACTGACAGACAGACTAACCTGCTGCACAAACAATTCCTCCATCTCTCTCTTTCACTCACTCACTCACTCACTCACCGACAGACTGACTGACTGACTGACTCACTCACTCACTCACTCACTCACTCACTAACCGACCGACCGACCGACCGACAGACAGACAGACTAACCTGCTGCATAAACAATTCCTCCATCTCTCTCTCTCTCACTCACTCTCTCACTCACTCACTCACTCACTGACAGACTCACTCACTCACTCACTCCCTCACTGACCGACTGTCCGACTAACCTGCTGCACAAACAATTCCTCCATCTCTCTCTCCTGCCGATGAATCAGCTCCTCCTTGGCCTGCTCCAGCCTCTGCTGGTGAAGTCTGGTCAGCTGGTCAACACTCAGGTCTAGACTCTGACTGCTCTCCGGCAACGACTTGACCATGTCCAGGATAGAATTGTGCACGTCCACTGCGGTCATCCCATCCTCCATCAGCCCCGGGTAGCCTTCCTCTTCTTCTTCTTCTTCTTCGTCCTCTTCCCCCTCCCCCTGCGACCTGTGCAGGACGTCCCAGCTCTGGTGGCTGATGTTCATGGAGTTTTGTAGCTGGACCTGGCTCAGATACTTGTTGATGTGCTCCGCCTTCCCCTCTCTCTCCGCTTCCGACGGAACTTGGGCGTTCACCAGATTTCTCCCGATCTGTGGGGCAGATGCATCAGGAGACAACTCGAACTGGAGCTTCCTGTTGAGCGCTGCCTCCTCGTCTTTGTCCACATATGGGGCTACTTCTTCCTTCTGCTCCGCCTTAGCGTCGCTCGTCGCTGCAACGTCCTTCGACACTCTCTCTTTGTCTTGAGCCTCCAGTCTTGACCTTGCCCTCACAAGAGCCGGCGAGGGTTCACTCAGCGTATACGAGCCACGCCGGACTAACACTTTGGTTGGCGTCAAATCATTTTCTGCTGCCGATTCTTTTTCCACCGAGGATGGATCAACATTCAGTTTCTTTGGAGAATGAGCCTTCTCCTCTTTTTTATTTGGCACGTCGGTCTTTTCAGCTCCAACCTGAGACTCTGAGACATTATCGTCCACAGCTTTGTTGTCTAGTACATTGACCTGTCCACAACCTGTCTCCACGATGTTCATTGCCAGGGCCGTATTGTCTCTGGCCGACATGTCGTCTCTGATGGTGCTACTGCTCGACTCAGACGTTGCAGTCAGCGTGTTGGACTTGTTCGAGCCCTGGGAGTCGGAGACCGACATCTTGCCGGTGGTGACCTCCCCTGTGGGCGGTTTAACCGCAGACAGATCGTCCGCGGATTCTTGGCAGGACTGATTAGCTCCGACTACGCTGCCCCCGGAAAATGACTGATGGTCCTGAGCACCCACACCGGCCGAAGCGACGGCCGGATTCACCACCGGGAGAGATCGGTGTCCTGTGAGAGGGGCGTGGGATTTTCTCCCGTCTCGACCCGATCCTTGATCCGAGGCTTCGTGTCTCGTCTCGTCATCTCCCTCTGAGGACTGACGTCGTCGCACGCCATGACGCGCCCACTCACCCCCGTCTGATACATGGCCGTGACCTCTTGACCTACTTCCTGTGTGGTCGTGTGTTCCTCTGTGGCCATGATGACCTTTATGAGGCACCGAGCCCTCGTTTTCTTTGTCAGAACTGTAGGCCTCGGTTCTCCCGTAATACTGAAAAGGCATCCCAGACGAGGGATCAAATGGTGGGGTGCACGGGGAGGAGTCGCTGTCAGGGTTCAGCGAAACACGACTCAGCAAACCTGCCGCAGATCCATCCGCCTGGACTACTTTTTTCCCCTGCGTCTGTTTAAGCCTCGCCTCGCTGGGGTCTCCGATGATAGGCAACACCCCGTCGGAAGCAAGAGCCCCGATATCGGAGGAAACTTTCGACAAGCTCTGATCGGCGGCCGACATCTTTTTGGTGACAATGGTGGTGCTTTCCAGGGACTGGCTGGCGCTGGTGTTGATGTACTCGGTGACAAACGACGCGAAGTGTACGGCGTTTTTCAGCGACTTTGGGCTGCTGCGGCTGCTCCTCTGGCTGTCTGTTGTGTTGGCCGAGCCACATCCCGGCGAGCTGTTGACGCTCGTGCTCGTGCGACTCTGCTCCAGTGTGGAGTTCGTGTTCACGTCGACAAAACCCGACGTTGCCGTGGTTACCGTGTTGTCCCCCCCTGACTCGGAATCCCGCCCCTCCCCCGGCTCGGGCGACACCTCCACGACCGTGTCCTGACTCTCGTGGAAGAAACTGGCAGACTGCACGTCCCCGCCACCACCACCGCCTTCGGACGCTGACGCTTTCTGCGCCAGAACTTTTTCCGCCCACCTGGCGGCATTTCTTAGATCTTCTTCCGACGCGCCCGTGTTTGCCAGAGCCTCACTCACGTCGCTACCGCTCGTCGAGTTTAACTCCTGCACGTTCAACACCTTCGAGAGGCGGTCAAGGTCGTAGGAGATCTTCTGCTCTCTGGAAGAGTTCAACTTAATCCCGCTAAACACTGTGGGAATCGACTCTCCTCCCTCCAGCGACATAAAGTCTGAGTTGAGAGTGTCCATCGTCTGTAGGCCGAAGTCCTCCCCCGCCAAGTCGGTCTCAGCTGTAGCAAAGGTCGAGAGAGGGTTGGTAGCACCGAGTCGCTCCTTCAGCGTCCCCGACAGAAGGCCGCCATCTTGGGCCGCCGAGTCGAAGTTGAGCTGCCGTGCCGTGGGGCGATTGTTCATGTCTGTGTACGTCATCTGGAGGGAAAAGGAAAAGCAAGTTTTTGGGTAATCAAAGTACAAGGGTGCAAGTGTTCATGTGTGTTTCTTTGATGTTATTTTATTTTGTTATTTCGTTTTGTTTTTGTGTGTGTGTGTGTGCGTGTGCATGTATGTGTGTGTTTGTGTCTGTTAAGTCGTGGGGCGATTATTCGTTTCTGTAAACATCACCAGAAGCAACAAAGACGAGCCAGTGTGTGGTAATCGGTGTACATGACTGTGTCTTGAATAAAAGTCGAGATGTCTGCAATTGAAGGAGGTGGAGGTTGTTGGTGAAAGAGTTAAAATGAAGGAGAATAGCCGCCAAAGTTTGGTGACCTCACTATTCCTTTCCAACCTCACAACTCCCCCCCCCTCC